CTTTGGGTGTTCTTAATTCATTTGGTTTGCCAGCAAGCATAATTTAAAAAATTTTTATTAACTATAATTAAAATATTGTTTAGAATTATATTTAATAGGATCTTTCATTAAATATAAGGATGAAGAAACAAGAATAGGAAGAATTTTAGCTATAGTCTCAACTTCGAATAGTATCAAATTGAAGATTCAACATCTTTATTTTGGCACCGAATTACCAAGGATATTTGCAAGCTCAATACGAAAAGAGCAATCAAGGAATGGGGAGTTGTGGCTAAGCGAAATAACATACTTGACTGATCCGTTTAATGTTATTGAACCTGTTACAGTTTGGCTTCAAGATACTTCAGAGTTACCTAATTTTCAATTTTATGTGAGAGAAATTTTATATTGTCATGAAAGCCGGTGGAAGATAAGAGATTGTAGACTAAGACATCTTTATCCAATTGAATATACTCAAATTCCAATGTCAGCTCCTCATAATGTGCCTACATTAAAAATCATGTTAGACATTTATCACGATGACTTCGGTATGTTTCGTAACGTGTATCATTCCTTGGGTGGAATTTATCTTCGGTTGTATATCAGAATCCCAACACACAAAATCCCGACACACAAAATCCCGGCAACAAAATCCCAATACAAAAAATCCTGACAAATGAAATTCCTAATTTTAATATTTTTAGGATTTTAATTTGTTGGGATTTTGTGTATCGGGATTTTGTTGCCGAGATTTTGTGTGTCGGGATTTTGTGTGTCGGGATTCTGATATACAACCTTTATCTTCAATTCTGCAATATGCCTTTATGGCTAAGAAAACAATTAAAGAATCATTTTGTTTTGGGTTTTGTTCTGTTTGGAGGGGAGTTTAATGATGTAATAAACCCGATTATAGATGAAATTAAAATTTTAGAAAAAGGTACTTTGATGAATATTTCGGGTCAACAAATATAGATAGTAGCTGCTTTGGGTATTATAACCACCGATCTCTCTCAGGGCAATGATCTTGCAGATACGAAACATTATAGTAGTAATCAAGGATGTAGGAGTTGTTTAGCACCTAAAGAACAATTAAGTGATCTTTCTTTTGATATTAAGTTAAATGCAAGGTATCATCATATAACAAATAAAAAAATCAATAAATTAAAAGAATTAATACAAAGAGAGGCACTGCAAAAAATAGTCAATGATTACTGTACAGAGCATGGTTTAACTGAACGCCCAAGCATTTTGAATCAACTGACACGGAATCGGCATTTACAAATACCTCAGGATGCGTACCATGCTGTAGCTGGGAAAATATAAAGGCTAATGGACTGTACTTTTTCAATATTAAATCAAAGAGAAAAATGCACTTTTTTAAATTATTGGAAAACCTTTGAGTTACCATCTGGTTGGTACCGTCTCCCTAACCCAATCAAACATCTTAACAGTTTCATGTTTTCTGACTGTTTGTGATTAGCAATGATAATGCCATTCTTATTGCGAAGGTTCTTAACAACATCATGTATCAAAGATACTGATTTGGCTTTGTTGCAAAGACAACTTACAATATCAACAAACATGCGATTAATGATGCTATCGTCTACACAAATTGTGAATGAAATCATTTCTTGCTGGGTAGCCATCACGAAAGCATCACGCTTAAGTTTCAGCTTTACATTTACTA